TTCTATGAGGTCCCTAGAGTCACCCAACCCATAGAAACAGAAAGTAGAGGGTGGATGCCCAGGACTGGGGTGTAGGGAGATGGGGGCAGAGTCTCAGTCTGGGGACAGATGCTGGAGACAGACGCTGGAGACAGATGCTGGGGACAGACGCTGGAGACAGACGCTGGAGACAGATGCTGGGGACAGACGCTGGAGACAGATGCTGGGGACAGATGCTGGAGACAGATGCTGGAGACAGATGCTGGAGACAGATGCTGGGGACAGATGCTGGAGACAGTTGTACAACAATGTGAAGACCCTTAACACCGCTGAACTGTACACGTAATATTGGGAAAATGATCAACTTTAGGTCATGCGTATTTGACCACAATTTCTAAAAAGTTAAATGTAAAAAGTGGACATGAAACCTTTTATTATGTAAGAATAACCAGAGTTCCCAAGAGGTTTAATCTCTGGTTGGAGGGAGAACTAGGCCTGGTGAATACATCAAAGGGACAAGAAGAGCTACACCATGAGACGGCCTGCTCGGACGGGCCCTCAAACGCACACAGAGGCCAAGAGGGGACGTGCACACCAAGCGCTGACAGCGCTCACCTCTGGAGATAAGACTGAAGTGACTTTTGTCTTCTTTCTACACACCTATTATTCAAGCTTTGCATAGTAACCATTGGTTATTTTATTTTATTTTATTTTTAAAGATTTTATTCATTTATTTGAGAGAGAGAGAATGCGAGACAGAGCACAAGAGGGAAGAGGGGTCAGAGGGAGAAGCAGACGCCCCGCCGAGCAGGGAGCCCGATGCGGGACTCGATCCCGGGACTCCAGGATCACGACCTGAGCCGAAGGCAGTCGCTTAACTGACTGAGCCACCCAGGCGCCCCCCCCATTGGTTATTTTATAACTGGTAAAAAGCACAACAAATAATCTTCCACAAACCGATTCCCACAGCACACTGACTATTACAGAAATTACAGAATGACATTCTCTGGAGGAGTCCCACGTGGGCAGCACCGGGCACTGCCCCTTTAACCAGAGAGCCCGGATGCAGCGAAGCTTGAATTCCACACTAAAGCACTGCGGTGTGCTGTCTGTCCTTCCCGTGATCCTGGTTCACACAGTGCCTTAAAGCTTTCTAAAAGAAGTAAATAATGGGTGTAAATAATGAATAAATGAAGAAGAGGCTCTCTTTTCTATGATAAGTTTCCACCAAATGCGTATTTGCCACACCCATTAAGTCGATTTCTTCACCACTTCTCTGGGGGTGGGTATGGCTGGGTCTTCCTGCGGTTGTACGTGAAACCTGAACTCAGTGTCACGTGTAGGACTTGACCGAGCTGCAGAAGGGCAGCCCCTTCACTGAGTCACAGGGCAGGTCCAGGGCCTCCGCACTACCCCAGGGTCCCCCTTCCAGGTAGCAGCGCACTGGGCGTCTGGGATTTCCTGCTGTCCAGGCCGTACCACCCTAAGACCTCACGGCACACCAGCCCTCCGGGCCTCCCTATGACTTCCTTCCAGGATGAAATTGGGCTTATGCAGAGAACTGCGCATGGAGACCGTGCTCACGGCACACTGAATCTACATGCACTTGCCACAGGGGCCGCAGGTGGCTTGGCCGAATGCCACAGGCAGCTCTCCAGGCAGTGGTGTGAAATGGCCCACCTGGGTGTCTGCTATTATTGAACACCAATTAAATCCCAGTAGCGCACTGAGTCAAAGAGTTATTTTCAGGAAGCCCCTGGACTGCAGATTCAGAGGAAAGTTGGTCTTTTCTCATTCTTTTTCATTAAAATGTAAGAAATCTTTACCCCTCCTATACTGGCTGACACCCCTGCCCCGGAGGGATCTTTGCTACTCTGCTCCCTCTGGAGGCTAGGCACACACTTTTGCACACAAGAAAGAGAGAAAGCTAAACTTTGCAGCTGACAGGTTATTTAAAGCTTTAGAGTCCAGGAGTAATTAGCCAGAGTAACAAAGTAAACTCCCTTCAAATCTAAAATTTCTACAGTTGCCTCTTAGGAGCCCCACCTCTGTCTTCAGGGCCCTGACTTTAGGGTGATCTAATTCAGTCTTCAGTGACCTGACGTCGAGGTGACCCAACTCAGTCTTCAGTGCCACCATTTAGCCTCTGATCTGCAGCTTCCTCGCCAGCAAAATAAAACTGAAAATAATACTGTGTTTTAAGGGTGATATGAAAATCAAATGAGGCCATTTATGTGGACAAATCCACTGGTTCATTCACTCAGCAAACACTCTGCCAGGCACACACTGGGTACTGGGATGCAGACAGTGACAAGGAGGTGGTGTGCCATCTTCCTAAGCTGACGGTCTACAAGGGGAGAGAAGCATTTATCAAACAATCGCACAAACACGCACCGCACACTGTGAGATGTGTTCTGGGGAAGGTACAGGATGACATGAGCCTCTCCTTTGGGGTGGGGTACGAGCTTATCTTGATGAGAGACGGAGCATTTCCAACAGCCAAGCCAAAGTCTGCCAGCGAGGTTGAGTGGCCCTTGGCTGCTCATGCTGAAACAACGCACAGCAAGACTGTGTCCTCTGCACAGAAGGGCACACCGTCACTGCCTCTGAAGCCTTCTTTGGAGCAGTGAACACCACAGTCAAATCTCTGGGCTAGCTCCTATAGCTCCAGGTTTACAGAAAGTACGAAGCAAAGGAACAAGGTACATGCTATATTTGGGATGCAATCAGCAAAATCCAGAATGTGAAAACCACTACAAGACAAGTGAATTCGTTTTCTAAAAGCACTGTGAGGAAAGGAAGAAGAAGTGGGAGAACACTTCTGCAAGTTTAAACAGACAGACCAGCTGCTTCAATGGCTCTTCTCTAGAACCTGCTTCAAATAAAAAAAAAAAAGATTGTAAAGAAAATTTGTGACCACTAAGAAACGTGAACTCTGATTAGATAATGATATTAAGATATTACTATTAACTTTCATACATGGTGAAACTATTGTGGTTAGGGTTATACAAGTGTTCTCCTCTTTTCCAGAGATATGGTGTTGAGATACAGACAGATGGAACCCTCTGAGGACGGGGAGGTGGCAGGTGCAGAGAAGTAGCAGGAAAGACCGGGACCTGCCATTTGCTGAAGCCCCATGATGCAATGCACAAGGTTCATCTTACAGTACTCTAATTATTTTGTGATTGACATTTTACATGTTTCTTTTTAAAGCATAAAGTGCAGCTGGGAAAACAGTATATATGAAGAGACACCAACATTGCAAGTCAGCACAGAAAAAAATGCCCACCACGTTATGCAGTTAATAAGGGTCATTGGATAGTGAAGAGCATTTTCAGAGAGGATGTTGCCAAAGATCTGCACCTCAGGGGAAGTCAAGAAGAATGGGAAGGTCCCAAGTAATGGGGAGGCAGGAAGTTCCTTCTAAGCAGTAACAGACCCCTGAAGTGTGCCGCATTCTGTGCACATACCTGGCTCTCTAATGGATTTAAGTCCCTTTGGTAGGGGCTTCCTATTTCCAATAACTAGGACAGAAGTAGTTGATAAATGGGATTTAAGCTGTGGGAGAGGAGAAAGGAGACAGAGAGGGGTGGTTACAGAGAGAAGTAGACAGCCCCCACGGCATAACCTGGAACACAAAAGCAAAGAAGCACAGGGTGTGGTCAGCACCATGGAGAGGGCCTGCAGTCGGACCAGAGGCCACCACTTGGCCACTGGCTGGGTGGGGGTGACCTTCCGTGGTGTGTTTATAGCAGAGGTGTTGGGTGACGCTGAGCGACAACAGGAAAGCCAAATCAGCAGATGAAGGCCTCTGATGGAGGCTGGTAATTATGGGAGTGTGGAAGGCAGCAGGGCCAGGAAACGGGATTTCTCATAGCAGTGCACGGTTTAAAGCAGCCCCCAAAGGAGGGAGAGGGGCTACCTCTCGGAGGAGGAGGAGTTCCAGTCGTACAATGGTGTATTTATGGGCAAACAATCCGTAGGCAAGTGCACAGCCTGCCTTCGTATACAGCTTCCTTTCCCAAGACAAGAATGAGAAGAAAGCATTAGTAATGGCCACACATGCCTCCCTCTAATTATAATTTCGCTTTCCTTCCATTTAGAAGGTGCCATAATGGATTTGTGGATCGAGAGAGAGAGAGAGAGAGAGAGAACAAGAGACCTACTTAGCTGAAAAGCAGCAATATGTAGAAAAGAAGACTGTCAGAGCAAATCCAATTAAGGCGTCACTTACAGAAAATAGACTGCTGATGTTAATGTGATTCTTGGTCCGTTTTTTTAGAAACCCTGCTATCTGCTCAATTTTATTATTTGTATGTCTTCAAAGAAGAAGTCATATTTTATCAGAGTCTCACTTGATATTTTATGGCCTTAGAAGACAAACACACTAGAGTCCTCTGCACCTTACAGAGTCGGAACCAGTCAATACCCCTTCTCCTTGGGGCGGCCACAGCAGGGGCGTGACCCGCGGGAGAGCCCTGGAGGATCAGGTGGAAAGCCAGTCACTTCGAAGGCCGCACGTGGCCTCACTGCATTGTGAGTGGCATTAGCTTCACACTGGGTTCTTTTGGGGACAGGCAAATAGCCATAACTACGGGAGGTGGCCCCGAGTTTGACCATAAGGAGTGCTAAGGGGTGACATACACCAAATCCAAAAGCCCCCATGTTCCATTTTCCAAAATGTTCTGTGGCCAACATGGTTTGGGGGCCAGATCTGGTCATGTTCCCCAACCTGTTTGAGTGCCTTCATCCGTGAAGCAATGGATGGACACTGCAGGGCAGGGCCCACACACCCTTGCTTCTGCCACCCCCAGAAGGGCCCTTTTCTGCCAGGCCTGACTACGACTGCCTTCCCTCCTACAGCAGCAGGGGGACAGGATGGTGCTGAAGGCCCTTCCTCACACCACAAGGGCTGTGGCCGTGACCCAGGGGGCAGTGCAGAGTGCAAAGGGCTGGCCCTGGGCAGGTGCCGGAAAGACAGGAACAACAAAAACACGGGGGACTGGAGGAGGCTGACTCACCATCACCAAAGGCTGGGGGGTCCTCGGGGTCTCCTGGTGATGAAGGCCATTTCTGGAGGGCTGCTGGGGCCGAGAGGACCCTTGCTGTTCTCCAGGGCATACGCAGCGGATTTCGAGGCCCTGGGTCACCCTCCCCGTGGGGTTCTGGGAGTTTCTGAGCCACAGAGGTGCCCAGAGAAGTGACCAGGCTCTGTCTGTCAGCACCGCCATCCACCTTGGGGCTCAGCTCATCAGGCCGAAGCCGGCTGCGCATCCGTAAAGGGCGGCCCCCGGGGTGATCGGCCCGGGGCCTGGGAGCGTAGGTCAGAGCGGATGTCTGCGCCATGAAGGTCAGCACGCTGTCAGCACGGGGATCCTCACCCTGTAGGGGCCAAGGATCAAACACAGCAGGTGAGCCTCCACGTCAGCCACTCAAAAGGGCATTTGAGGCACTACATAGCCCTGACATCTCTGAAATGCACACCCGAATTTTCCCGCCACTGACAGACCAAACTCTATGGTCCATATTCATTTTGCATTGGTTTTCTAATAGCAGCTTTATGGAGGTATAATTCCCATACCACAAAATACACCCGACTCATGTTTTCAGTATATCCAGAACAGTGTGAATATCACCACCATCTTTAATCCCAGCACGTCTGGATCACTCCAAGAGAAACCTCATACTCATCCCCACACCCCCAGCCCTAGGCACCTGCCAGTCTACCTTCTGTCTCTATGGAGACAGGTTCTATCAGTGGAATCATACACCACGTGGCCTTCCGTGCCTGGCTTCTTGCACCCTGTGCTCGAGGTGCGTCCCGGCCGCAGCACCCAGCAGCGCTGCATTCTTTCCTACCGCTGAAACGTCTCATTTTAAAGAGATCGCACATTCTGTTTATCAGTCGGTGGACATCGGGGGCCATTATACGGCTATGAACATTCATCTACAAGTTTCTTGGGGATGTATGTTTCCAGTCCTCTTGGGTTTACGCCTGGAAATGCAATTGCCAGGTAGTATGCTAACTGTGCATGTGACTTGCTGGGAGCTGCCAGGATGTGCTCCAACACGGATGCGCCCTGTGTGGTCCCACCAGCCAGCTGTGAGGACTCCAGTCTCTCTCCCTCCTCTTAGCCATCTGTTTCCTTACATCCAGCTACTGGGTGTGAAGTGGCAGCTCACTGAGGCTTTGACTTGCATTTCCCTGCTGGTCAATGATGCTGAGCGTCTTTCATGGGCTTCTCGTCTTCTGTGGAGAAATGTCTCTCCAGTTCCGTCACCTGCACTGGTGTTTACTGTTGCTGCAAAAGCAGCTCTCCATCTGAGACTGACGCTCTCCCTCAGTACAGGCACCTACTGCTCCGTCTTACGTCTTCGTTTCACTCCAACTCCAACTCCTTTCTTTACCGACTACTGAAATCACTTTTCTCTCCTATTCCTTCAACAGCAATATTCCACAACAGCAAAGCTACCCTTCTATGTGACACCATGTCCACAACCCAGCCAGCATGGCCTCTCATTGAGCCTCCACCTGTGTGTCCTCCTCACTCACGCAGTCAGTCGTCTCAGGAGGGTGCATTCTCATCAGACTGTTTTGCCAGTAGACAAATCAAGGCCCAGTTGTCCTCCACTCTGGAACAGCTATAAAAATGCTAGAAAGTTCAATGTTCTACTTTTGACTGTGGGACAAACACAGAAATTTCCAACATGGAGATTCTCAGAAAAGTTACAGCTGTCCTGGAGGCTTATTCAGAGCTCCCTTCATGATGTGGAATGGGTCCATGAGCCACAAAGTTTTTCAATCTTGCCCATTCATATTTTCTAAACACACCTTGCTTGGTGCAAGAGGTCAATGTTGAGTCAAAGGGGAGTAGACATTGGGATCTAGTTAAGATGTGCAGCCATCACTGAATTTAAGACAAGTGGTTCAGACTCCCAAGTCTGGCTATTTTCAAAAATATGTGGGTTCAGCCTTCCAGGATAGATTTTGGTGTAGCAAGTTAGAAATCAGAAAACTAGGGTTGATACTGGTTTTAGTTATTGTTCTCACATATGAACTTCGGCAAATCCTTTGGCCTTTTGAGACTGAATTTTCTGTCAAAGAAGGAGACTGGACATTATCTCTAAGATTGTCTTTATTTTTCTAAAATGATGTCATTTTAGCTGTCATCCAAATTGTTTAATGTTGTCCAAGTACTGGCTGAAATCAACTGCTTTTCCTTCAGAAAAAAGTAAGATTCATTAGAGAAAGGGAGAGAAAAATAAAATGCTACCACACAGATAGGCCCCTCCAGCAGTTTCCCACAAATTGGGTGTAAGTGTCAATCTTAAGCTCAGCCTGAACTTCTGTCCGAAAGGCTGTGTCTGAACACCTGGTCAGGTCACAGTGCTGGGGGCTGCAGATCGCATCCAGATGCCTCATTAATGTGCCCACAAGCGTCTCTCCTCTCTCTGCTACGAATGCAGCCTATCCTAGAGCTTCTACTCAAAGGGCCTTTAACTATAGCTGAACTGGAACGCTCCAGGTAAAGGACAAACCAGGCTGAACACAGTGCACAACAAATCACTGCTGAAGGTAATCCGTGCACTAGACTGTGATAAACAATCTATTTTGGGTCTGTTCATCCTGTGAACCAAATTAAGGTGAAGAGGGAAAAATAATATTTCCGTAGGTACACTGTAGGAATAATAGAAAAGCATGGGTTTTTACAAGTCATACCAGGTCCTCTGTAAACGATGGCCAGCATGATGGTGTCCTCGGGGGAGCTCACTGGGGCGCAGCCAACAGGAGCCCTGGGAGTTGGGAGACCAGCAATACAAATATCCTCGTGATGGCTTCCTGTTTGTGGCGTCAAGTCTTGGAGGACAGAGCTGGTAGATAGGGCTGGATTCTGGGGCCAGGCTGCCTGGGTTGGAATCCCACCTCTGATCTCACAAGCCCGGTGAGTTATTTAACCTCTAAGTCATCTGTAAAATGGGGATAATAAGCACAGTGCCTGGCATGGGGTGTTGCTGGTTACTGCTCCTACCATTCTTACTACTATTATTTACTTCACCTTCTTAGACCTTCCTTTTCTTTAAAGCAGTAGGAAGTCCACAGATGAACTAAGCAGAAGCCACTCCCCCATTCTGAAGGTTTTAAACCTGAATTCAACAAACCTATGATGTCAGGTTCCCCAAAATAATGCTGAATAATTTTTCGGACTGTAGTTGCCCAAATCTGGAATTAGCAACCTGAAAGTACACAAATTTGCCAATTCCCAGCACATGGTGTGGCCACTTTTGGTACATTAACTCTTCGTACCATACATTAGAGAAATCTAGGTGGGGCATCCTTGATATGATACACTTTGCATGAAGCCTCTTAGAACTGCTGCCAAAGCTTGCTGAACTTTACCCTGAAATCACCTTCCTCCAGGCATATTCCTTAACCCAAGGTATTGCCACATGAGAAGGAGTGGAATCCACTTACCCACACCTTCCATGGTACTGAATAAAACCAAGGGGAAGACTGCTCTTTTGGGAGACTGGCCTGATCCTGTCATTGCGGCTCTGTGGCACCTGCACGACTTTGAGCTTCCCTCTTACTACCTTCAAAATTAGGAAAATACTTCCTTTTTTCTTAAAGCAGGTATGAGGATTAGTGAGGGTAAAAAATTAGGTTACAGTGCTCAGCACAGGGCTCAGAGGAGGTGTTGAGACATGGTGGGCAGTAGCATCCTCCTCACCAGCACCAAGCATCATCACCGCTGTAAGCATGATCCCCTCTGTGCTCGCCACCATCAGCAGCAGCATCCCCATCCAGATGGCTACCAGGGGCATGATCGCCACCGTCACCTCCCCCAGCAGCATCACAAGCACTAGCGGTGTGCCAAGCTCTGGACTACGTTCTGTGGGGAGAGAAGGTCTCAAACACGGACCTGAGACAAACTGCAGGCGGAAATGGGAGTTAGGTCACGGACCTAAGCAACTCTTAGTGAAAGTGTATTTTTAAAGAGGTTCAGTGACCTTGGTGTGGAAAGAAGAGGAGAATCAGAGCAATAGCCTGGAGCCAGCCGACACACTTCCCAGAGCCACGGCCTGTCTGCCCAACCATGAACTGGGCATGGAAGCTCTCCTTCCTGCCAGGTTCACCAGGACCAAGGGCCCAGAGTGAAAAGTCGGGCTTCCTTCCTCGCATAAATCTGCCCCCTCCAGTCCCAGACCGCACAATTATGTGTTCAGACCGCCAGGAAGCCTGGAGGCCCTCGGAGCCCCACATGCAAGCAAACACTGAGTGGATGAGACATGTCTACACACTGGCCACTGATGCTTATCAGGTGTTCCCTTGTGCCAAGGACCCAAAACAAATTAGGAGACTCACACCGGGCCATGTTTGACCACAGAACACTGTCTCCCATTTGTCCCACAGCCTGAAGGCAGCACTGACAAGCACGTTGATGAAGATGTGCTTGCGGCTGGTGACAAAGTACACAGCGGTGGGGCTGTCCACAGGCTTCCTAATGAGGCGACCCCACGATGCCACCGGATGTGGCAAGACTTGAGATCCCCATAAGGGGGTCTCAGGAACCCTCCGCCTCCAATTCATTAATGTAGAGAAGCGATTACTTTGCAGCGCCCTTCTGTGCTCGGGCCGTAGACGGTGATTCTGTGCACTAACCCTGCCCGTCCGTCTCTGTCTCTTTCTCCATCCCTCTCTACCCCGTCCCTCCCTCTTTTCCTCCTTGCCTTCTCCTCGGTCCCTCTCCCCCGCTCTCCCTCTCTCTGGCTCTCCCTTCTTCTCTCTCTCCCTCTTTACACTCCCCCCGCCCCCTCCCAACACAGAGAGAGAAGGCTATCCTGCCGAGGTGCTCAGGCTCTAAGCAGCCAGCCTGCCCCACGTGCAGGGAATAAACTGGAGGTGTCGTTCTTACCGACCGCATTGCTGCCGGGACAAAAGAAATGTTTGCCTTCAGGGGAGCTTCACACTGGTCTTCCTCTGCAGCTGAGCCATAGAGCTTTCAGTTAGAAAAACCAGTCCCCAAACACCTTTTACAGAGTTCACAAAATCTATGTGGTTAAAGGGATGTTAAGTTCTAAACTTGGGATCAACGAATTTTGCAGAAAGTTAACAGTAATCCGAGCTGTGGATTTTAAATTATGGATTTCCGCAACGATACTGCGTTACGCTCACTTGGAATGGTTCTAGAGACAGCTGATGGCGTGGAGCCAGCACCCTGCCCCTCCCCCCCCACATTACGTCTTCCTCCTGTCAACCCTGCTTCGTCTGCGGTCCTGGTTTGCATCTTGTCCTTTGCAGCAGCGGCACCTATAGCCTCAGACTCAGCAAGTAACAGGTTGAAAGGAATGGACTGAAGCAGAGAGTTGCCATCCATTTTTCTACCCACCTGGGATAAGCATGAAGCATGGAGTTAGAGCCCATTGACTACGATAACCATCACAAAATGGGTCCTGTTTTCCGAGTGCCGGTGCCAGGCTGTTCTTTGGTTTTCTATGTTTTAATTCTTTTTGACCCTCTCAACAACCCCATGGTGTAGACACAACTACAGCATTTTACGGATAGGAAGCCGACATTCCGGCAGGGGAGGACCAGGGCTGGGGCGCAGCCTCGCACATCTTGCTTCAGGCTGCACTGCAGAAAGAAGCAGGCTCACCCTGCAGTCTGTCTGGAGGAAAGTGACAGAGTTTGGAGGAGGAAACTTGGTGACCTTGTTTTTGGCTTAAAAAATAAATGTGAAAACGTTGGACAAGAATTCAGAGTTCTGACTTCAGCTCTACCACCAGTTAAGTGTTGGAAAGTGGATACTTCACTGTACCTTCTCAGCATCAGTGTCCCTCTCTGTAAACCACTGAAGGTCCCAGGGGAATTTTCACCCTCATAAAGCATGATTCTACAGAAAGGACAATCCAGCCTGATGTAACAAGGCCGTGGTTTTCTTTCTGCCTGTCCAGTCAGCTCCGAAGAGTCCAGATGGGAGAAGTGGACAACTGTCAAAGGATGCCCGAGTAGCTTCTTACACATGGTTACATGACATGGTTACATGAGAAGTTAGATAAAAAATAAAGACAAAAAAGAATGTCTTCTGCCCACACAGATTCAACACATGATGTGATGAGCCCTGGGTGGCATACTGAACTGATGAATCTTTGAACATTATATTAAAAACCAATTATGTACGATACCTTGGCTAACTGAATTCAAAGAAAAAGAAAAACAAGAAAAAAGGACTTCTCACAAAGCCTCTTTGTGGCCTCCCGTGTACGTTTATACAACCTTCTCTCCTCCCAGCCAGTCAGCTGTGGGAGGGCAGGGCCGGCTGCCTTGCTCTTTAACTGCAAAATCTGGCCTGGGGCCCAGCAGGATGAAGGCAGAAACACGAGCCAGGAAGGGGACAGGGCGTGTGTCTGGGAGAGATTGTGCATATGTGTGATCAGACCGTGTGAGGTCACACACTGATCCCCAGCCCTCATGATGGTCACACCTCGGACGCTCCACCTGCTGGGTAAGCAGATGAACACGTAAATGACAGGTAGGCTGGTTTGCCCACAGAGCTCAGTTCTGAGCCGACTAGACCCTCAGGCTTTCTGTAAGTGGGGTGGCCTGGTAGGACTTTATGGAGCAGGGAAGGGGGGATGGTACTCAGAGTAACTATGATTAATCCCTTCCTACGTATTAGGCACAAACGCTGAGAACAGCTCTACCATGAGATCCCAGCTTCCCACCGCAGGTCAGTAGAAATAACAGCATGAGAAGGCAACTTTTAGGTCAAACGAACACCACAGATATGGCTCAGACACAATGTTGTGGCCATGCTCCTCACAGCTCCACCTTTGCACACGCTCTTCCCAGTAGCACCGCTAAGTAGAGGGCAGGGGGGACCCTGAGCCCCCAGATTGGATTTCCTAAGATGGCACCTCTTCAGAAACGGAGGACGCCTCGCTGGTCTCCAGTCTGGGGCTATGAGGAGACGGCTGCCATGAACAGTCTCGTGAAGTCTTCTTGTGAACACACCTGTCCTTTCTCTGACATGTCACAAGACAGACAAATGGTCAACTGTAAAGAAACTGCCAACACAGTGGCTGGAACACTTTATGTTTCCACTAATTACTGTACATTCTCACCAAGAGTTGGTATCATAGCTCCTTTTTGTTTTATTTTAGTCAGTCTAGTGGACAGGAAGTAGTTAGTCCCTTATGGTGTTGTGCTGTATTTCCCCAATGAATAATGATGTTGGGCACCTTTAATCCCCTTATTGGCCATTTCTATGTCTTTTTTTAATAAAGTATCTGTTCAAAACGCTCACATATTTTGTGTTGGCTTGCTCAGCTGTTTTTCTTTTTCATCTTTATTAAGGTATAATTAACACACAATAAACAGCACACATTTGTTTTGACACAACTCTATACCTATGAAAACCATCACCAGAGTTAAAGCAGTGAACACAACTCTCACCCAAAAGTGTGCTTGTCCCCTCTTTTAACACTTCCTTCCCACCGCTTCCCACTCACACACCCTCAGCAACCACTGATTTCCTTTTTGTCACTCATACACTACTTTGTATTTTCTCATACTTTGTATAAATAAAACTATAACAGTATGCACTTTCTTTCTGTCGGTCAGCACAATGATTCGGAAAGTCATCCGAGCTACAGCATGCATCAATAATTCATTCATCTCTATTGCTGAGGAGTATTCACCTGTTTCTTCGTTCACTTGTTGATAGGCGTTTGAGTTTTTCCTGCTGTTGGGAATTACTATTACAGCTGCCATGAATATTCATGTACAGCCTTCACAGGGACAAAGCTCTGATGGACCTTGGACAGGAGGGTGATGGCTGGATCATGGAGTGGGCGTATTCCCACCAGCAGTGGGTGAGAGTTCCATTTCTCCACCCCCTTGCCAACACATGGTGTGGGCAGTCTTTTAAATTTCAGTCATTCTAGTAGGTGCAAGATGACAGCTCCTTGTAGTTTCATTTTATTTCCCTGATGAACAATGTTGAACATTTCACCTGAGTTTATTTGCCACCATTTATCTTCTTTGGTGAAGTGCCTTTTTAAATCTTTTGCTCAATTCTTTACTTGCCTCCTTTTTCATGTTAATGAGTTCTGAGAGCTCTTTATACATCGTAGAGAAAAGTACTTTTTCAGGCGTATTATTTGCAAATTTTTTTCCCAGCCTGTGACTTGTCTTCTCATTCTCTCATCAGGACCTTTCAAAGAAGAGAATTTTTAATTTTTATGAAGTCCAATTTATGACTTCTCTTCTGGGCTGCACTTTTGGTGTCACATTTATACATCAGTTTGGGGGACCTCAACACTATTAAGCCTTCTAACACACGATCATATTGCCATTTAGACCTTTTCTAGTTATTCTCATCAATGTTTTTTTAATTCTCAGTGTACAAAGCCTTACACATATTCTGTTACCTTTCTAATTGTTTCATAATCTCAATGATACTATAAATGACTTCTTCTAATTGTTTGTGGTTAGTATATAGAAATACAATTGATTTTTGTACATTTACTTGGCATTCTATGGCATTGCCAAGCTCACTTATTAGTTTTACAGCTTTTTTGTAGATTCCACTAAATTTTCTGCAAAGGTGGTCATGTAATCTGGATGCTTTTTATTTCTCTTTCTTGCTTTATTGCATTGACTAAACCCTCCAGTACAGAAGAGGCAAGAGCCGTCTTCCTTGCCTAATTCCAGATTTTAAGTAGAAAGCATTCAGTCCTTCTTCGTTCAGTGTGACGCTAGCTGTAGATTTCTATCATGAATTGATGATGACTTTTGTTAAATGCTTTTTCTGCATCTTTTACAACTATTATGTACAGTTTTCCTTTTTCTTGTCAATGTGATGTTATACTCAATAATTTTCAAATGTAGAGAATTTCCCTGTATCATCATGTATTATCCTTTTTTATATAATGCTGGATTTGATTTGCTAAAATTTTTCTAGAATTTTTGCTTCTATATTTCTGAGGGATAATGATCTGAAGTTTTCTTTTCCTTTATCTTTCTTTGTATGATTTTAATCCTTTGATATTTATTGGCTTATTTTATGGCCCAGGACATGATCTATATTGGGAAATATTCTGTGTATACTTGAAAATAATGTGTATTCAGCAGTTTTTAGATACTATTGTTCTGTTAATATCAATTAGGTTTAAGTTGCTTGATGGTATTGTTCAAATCTTTATATCCTTAATGATATTTTATCTATTTGTATAAGAAGTTCTTGAGAGAGACTGTGGATTTGTATAATTCTCTTTTTGGTGTTCTTATATTTTTGCTTTATGTATTTGAAGTGCTGACATTAGGTTCATAAAAAAGATTTTTATGTCACTTAATGAATTGATCATTTAGTCATTCTTAAATGCTCTATCTCTGATCATGCTATTTGTCTTGAAGTGTACTTCGGTTAATGTTAACATAGTCACAGCAGCTTTCTGATACTTAGAGTTTCCACTCTATATATTTTCCACACTTTTACTT